TTGTCCCAGTTTGTATCTTGCTATTGGGGTCTCCAGCTGGGCTAATTCTCTGGAGGGTTGTCCACTTCCATGTTTGCCTGGGGCAGCCTTCTTTCCTTTCACCACATCATATACCAGCAAGCGAACTTTCAGTGGCTCATTCAAGGCATGTCAGTTTGGCAATCGTCGGTCTCGCAGCTGTGGAAGCTCTAAGCTGGCACCTTGCAGAAGCACCGGAACACTACCACGCTTGAGGGAGCAGGAAGATCTCTGGCAGCAGAATCGTCCAACGGATCTCCCGGCCTAGGTTTTCAGCTCCACTAGCAGTCTCCATCTCTGCCAAATTCTGGCATGGGGCTTAAAGTTCGGCATGTGGACCACTAGAAAGACAGTGCACATTCCAGCATGTCAGACTCGCCAGCATGTCATCGCCCGCAGAAGTGCCGTTGGTGAAAGCCTGTGAGTTCGTTCGTTCGAGAAAACCCGCAAGCCCGATCTTGAGCTCTCGAGAAGAGGAAGATGAACAGATATGAAAGAAGCCCAGCGAAATGCCGTCACCCCAAGTCATCATGACCCACAGAAAGTCCCCTGCCTTCCGCGTCCTGCCGTCCGCGTGCTGCCAAAAAAGCGCGTCGCGGAGCGCCGGGCTCCGGGCTGCACATGCAGGGTGGCTCAGTTGAGGGGTTGGAGAGCGGGGAGGGGCCCTGACTTCCCACACCAACTTGGAACCCCACCAAGCCGTGGGAGCAAGCTGAGAACATGAGCCATGCACCTGGAGCAGAGGTTCGACGTGAACGGAAGCGACTCAGTGACCTAGGTGACCCGTCTTCTTTGAGCTGAAGCACTTTCTTTTCGGTGTCTTTCACCGAGCGTTGGCTCAACCCGGAGCGTAACAGCAAGTCTGATCAAGCTTGACAGGTCAGGTGATGTGGGTAACAGATCACTTCTCAGACCTGTCTCCCACGATGTTCTTCGGTGTTTGGATCTGCAGAGCGGAACCTAACATCTCAGACAGTCTTTGGGGCTGCATTTTGGCGGATGGGAAAGGTGGATCATTTGCAACATCTTTTTAGGGGGGATTGGGAACCAAACCCCCTCTTCCAAAGGTGGACAGTTTGTCCCTCGATTTTCCAGGGTTCTCCCCCCCTGCTCACATGGACCCTGTGGTTTTCCTTGAGCCACCCACGTGGGTCTCCAACCGACGAGTCCGACGAATCCCCGGAACGTTTTGCCAGGTCGACGGGGGCCGGGAAACCGAGGGTTCCAAGTGGGACATGGGTTCCCTACGGGCATATGACATACTGATATTAATATATATGCCTACATACATATACAGGACTATAGGACTTGTAGGGATTTGTAGGGATTCATTTTGAGGATGTTTGATGTCCAAATTTGTGGGTCTTCACGGCATCTAGCAGTTGCCGTGCACGAAAACCGTAGTTGGGCCAAGGGGATTTTGTTCGTCAACAGCTGGATTTTAGGAATCAGACTCTTATATGCTAGTCATCATCCCGCTGCTCTTTGTGGGTGTGTTCATGCACCTAAAACAGAAAAGCTTTTTGTTGACCGCAGATCAAAACGAGTGAATGAAGCGCATCGTCTACAGAATAAACGCCTGCCCACCATTGTTTCAGCTGCCCACCATGGTTTCAGGCCCCATGCCCCACACCCACCTGGAGTTTCTTCCTCCCTGACCCGACGTTTTGACTCAAAAAGATGTCGATCACCTGTGCATATGGCTTTTGACTCTCAGCCTGAGCTGTCGAAGATCTTCAGCTCCTTGACTGAGGATGCAGCATACCAAAGCTTGGAAGAGGAGGCTGGAGGAATCACTAAAGCCACCGATTGAATACAGACAAGGCGACGCGGTAGCTCCCTGAAAACAAGCCACCTTCACATCTTTGATACGTATTCTTTCCTACTTCAAAGTGACCTTTGATCCCCTGGTTGGCTAAGTTAGGTCATAAACACTGTGGAAGGTCGACTCCGTTAGTTTGAAGCAGGCATGGTCCGCTACCCGGCTACCCGACTCGACTCTACTGGTCACCAATTGATACCTGATATCTCTTCAACTAACGAGCTGTTGGAGGGTCCTGCTAGGTGTGGGGAGTTTTCATTGGAACTCTTCGACTGCCGCAGTCCATGTCGTGGCCGCGGAGGCGTGTTGCTTGCGGCCCGCCTGCCCATGTTGGATTGGAGGGGGGGACCTGGGTCGCCAACGGGTGCACGCGCAACGCACTCGGAGGCTTTGAGTCATCGTTGGGCGGTGGCGCCCCCACGCGCATGAAGATGGGCGGCAGTGGCTCATTTGGGGTGCTCACAACCAGAAGGACCCGCAAGGTTTTGACCATTTGTTCTTTCACCCGGACGCTTGAGACCAACCCCATTTCTGAGCCACTGCCTTCAAGCGAGCCCCAAGCTCGGCGGCGCCACGCGTCTGGGAATGCCGGGGATGCCGCGCGCCAGGTGTTGCCGCGGTTTGCAGCGGTCCCTCGCCAGCACGGAGGGCCGGCGGCAGCTGCTGCTGGGCGCTGCGCTCACGCTGGTGGGCGCCGGGGGTTGAGGGGCCAGAAAGGGGGGACCCTTCAACTGGGACCCGAGGCCATGAACAATTAATCAATCCCTTCCACCTACTAAAAAAGACACGGCCCCCCCCCAATTAGCAAAAACTCGGGATTATCATATAACTCACTCGTTACTTTATTTTGGCATGCGTTTGCTCTGCAGGCTCAATGGCACGGCGTGTCCGTGTGTGCCATCGTTGTCTTTGCCCGCAGGGCCGGCCAGCGAGAGAAGCAAAACCACTACTAGAACAATGAATTCGTAGAAGCTGAGTGATCCCTATCTTGGATCACCAACCACCGAACATGTGAATTTTCATGAATTTTCTATAATTTCTATCAAAACAGGGGTCAAATGGATTCGATGATGTTCAAGGTTTATTCTGCCCATGGACGAGGCAATCAAATAATTGTGCGATGGTACTGCTTTGTCCAAGTATGCCAATTTGCGGAAACAAAGGTCCAGAGAAGAGATGTCAGTGGTTGGGATGGGACCAGTGCAGGAGTTGCATGAACAGTGGTGGCAATTGGAGAAGTTTGAGAGGCATGATCTTGGAGACTTCCCAGGGTCAGGACTTGATTTTCTTGTCGTGTAGGCTTAAACGAAGGGTGATTCCCTTCGTTTCAGCACCAAAGAGCCCTTCGATCCCCCGATCTTCGAGGGTTTGGGGAAGGGCAAAGAATAGGACCTTATAAAACCTTGGATGTGATGGACTTCCCAGTTTCGGTTGGTCGAACTTGAGCAGATGGTGGCATTTGGGCCCCAACGAGGTGGTCCATCCAGTCGATCCAGTGGTCAGAAGCGACATCCCCACCGCGCAGCGTGCTGGTCAGAAACCAACAACAACCGCTACCTGTCATGAATTCTACTCCTCGCCTCGCGTGTTTTTTTACGTGTCGTTGGTACCCTCTTCGAAGGGACGGGCAGATGCCACATCCGTCCGCTCTTCCCCCCTGACAGGTGGCGTTGATGGTGTTGAGAGGACCACTCTTGGACCTCCTGGAATTCGTCCTGAAGGTGGGGCCGAACAGCTCAGCGGACCCTGCGGCTACCACCGGGCGACGGGCCGGAGCGGAGGCCGGTCCGGTCCCACGTGCCGTGGCCGGTCTCCCAACAGTCACCATGGATTTTTTCCCCATGGTTCTTCATTGATATGAGTCAGTTAGATAAATTAATAGATATCATGGTGTAAAGAAGTTCTGTGGTCAATCTTCCGGCAGACGTCACTCAAAACAGCGTCAGCCCAGCTGGTCGGGTGGGTCTCTCACCAACGGATGTGGCCTGCTGTTTTCAACAGTTTCCCTAGCCTTCAAAGACCATTAAAAGAACGGTTGAGCTGGTGGTGTAGTGTAAAAATCCTTAGTAAAACAATGGTTCTTTGGTAAAGACCATTAAAACAATGGTTGTTTGAATCCAGGGGTTTCATTTTCATACTGAATCATCCTGGGAGACCGTATCATCCTGCGAGACCGTCGCCACCTTTGCAGGATTTCGGGTTCGGTCAAGGGCTCCTCCACTTGGTACAAAAGTGTTCTAAGGTTTTCGCATGTTTTAGCTTTTCACAGGCTCTTTGATTTGTGTGGCTCTTGGGATGTATTGTTCGACAGAAACAACAGGCTTGAACGCGTTTTTGGCATGAGCGAGTCGGTGTAGTACATATACATCCATGTACATTATTACTTTGAGTGGCACAAATGTCAATCCAAATGTTGATTCATTTTTTGCTGTTGTGCTGATGGCAGCCTGTGCCAAACGCAGAAGAAAGACAGGTCGTTGAATCTTGGCCAGAAATTCAGGGTTTCTTCTGAATGTTGAATGGGTTGAACGAGTTTTGGGGCGTTGAAATGTCGAATCTTCGAGGTTTGTGAGTACTTCTTGAAGCCGCTGCTCTTGGTGACGGATGTGGTTCCTCCGCCAGCTGCTTATCACATGTTGGATCTCCAAAGGCCCACTTCGCAGTTGCCGGCAGAGCGTGGCCAATTCGCGTGGTCTGCATACAAGTCTCGTCTTCCATTAAACTATCAAACATTAGTGTAAGGGGAGAGACGGGGATAGGTTCCAGGTGGACGTTCTCTCAAAGTGACTGCTGCACGATCCGTAGCAACAGCTGTTCCCTAATCTGAGACCAGTGGGTCCTTCTTTTTTCAAGCACGTTCCATTGAAGCATTCGGTGTTGGTCCCAGTTTGCGGAGCTGGCGCAGAGCCAATGGGTATTTTGGAAGTGTTTGCACGCCTTCCCAAGCTTTTGTTCGGAAACCAGAAAGACCTTTGCGGTTTTCCTACCCTTGTGGTTAGGTTTGGGACTGTTTTGGAGTCTTTTAGAGGCTGGCCCTGGAGGAGGACAGAGTGCACCTTAGAAACCCGGCCTAGGCCAGTCTTGGAATTGCTGGGCGTGATCTCCATTGGAGGACGTCGTTCCATGGGTGTGGGAGGGTGAGCCGGGGGGTGAACCACCTGGAGATCAATCAGTTTTCTTCCTCTTTTGTGGTGGCGATATGATGCTATAGGGCCTACTATAGGGTCATATCAGTGGTCTTATATGGTCTTATGGTCTTATCATGGCAGTGCTGATAGCTTTTGCTGGTGCCGGATTTCATGACCCTCGCTTTCGTCTCCCACGGCCGGGCCTTCTGGGACGACCAGGCCGCGTTCGGTGCGCGGCTCTCCAGGCACCGCGGCCTACCTTTGCTACAAAGGTCCGGGTTTCGACGGCGCCGGCACGAAGGTCGTTCGTCACACGAACTCCGCGTGCCGGGTGCGGCTGGGAGGCCTCTCAGACATGGCTGTAGGTGAACACACGGCAAGGAGCTCGGCCTGCATCCTGGTAGGTTGACCTGTAGATCGTCTATTAGTGGGGCAAAACCCCCGGTGTGCTTCCACAGCCACATTCTTCCGCTTGTGCCAGTGACCAGTGACTCCTTGCAGGGATCCAAGGGGCTTGTAGGCATACCCGTGCCCCCCCTGCTATTCTGCTTCTCTTTTGTATGCATCTTATTCACCGTAGCAGTCACTTGTGGTGGTTCTCCTCATTTAGCTGCCATCCATCATCAGCTGCTTAAAACTGAGTGAATCGGTAGGACGGTGGCCGTCTTCAACATGAAAGAAGTCATGCATTGGTTTTCAGAGGTTCGATGGCACAATCCCCCCCAAAAGTGTTTTACAAGGACCCCCATATAAACGACATCTTGGGGTGCCAGTGCCATCTACTTCTCCAAACCACTGTAAGAAGGCGATGTTCCAACCTGGTTTTTTGAGGGGTGTTTTGAGACCTGTCTCGTCCATTGAGAGGTGGCGTTGAGAGCGTGAAGCCATGACCTTCACTCGGTCACGGTGCACCCCGGGGCTTCTTCTTCTTCGAGAAGACTTCCCCCGGTAAACACCCCCCAAAGAAGTGGAGAAGACCTCCTCCTGGTAGAGGAGAGTAGTCTTCCTTTCGGGGCCATCCACGTAACGATTGTGGGTGAGCCGCGCTCTGGAGCGCCCATGCAACAAATATCGAGGGGCCCTTCAAGAGCACACTGCCTGCGCCGGCGCCCGTGCAGATCCCAACACCGCCTGCCTTTTTGTGGTGTTGCTGTTGGCTGGGGGCGGGTGCGCCCTGGCCAGTCCGAGAATTGATCTCGCTCTGCCAACACCTTTTGATACTGTACTTTTTGTGTTTCTTTGTATATGTCTGGGTATTCTGCAGGAGCAAGTCAAAGAGCATTAGCCTTTAATGATTAAAATTGTCAATGATGGTTCATGGTTGGTGCTCCTGGTTGGATCCTGGCTATTCTGGAGGTACTTCCTTGCCAGCGTGACCATCTGGTACAAGCCCATTGATGTGTCCGGAGCTGCACGTTGGGCCGGGTTTCCGTGTGAAGATGGCCGGCCGGAGGGCGTTCAAGTCCCTCTGGTGGTCCTGGACCATGGTCGTCGACCCCCAACAGCACTGGGCCGCTTGGTCGCGGTCTTTTGGGGGGTCTTTTTGTTGGGGGTTGAGGCAGTCCAAAGAGCTGATTGGGAGCACTTTTGAACCTTTTTGGGGGCCAAAGTGGGGTTCCTTCCAAAGAAGGCGACCGACTGAATGGCAAAGGCCAAAGCTGGCTTTGCAAGGTGCGAAGAATGTAGATGAGTCATTGCAGCATGCAGAAAGACTAGAGTGGCGTTGTCGGATGTGGAAGATCAGCACCACTCCGCGTTTCGCAAGACGTGGGTTGCATGGTTTCACATGGTTTCATAGGGTTTTGATGGTTGTTTCACCACACCACCTCTAAGCGCCGCCGCCTGGCAGAGGGTGTGTGACACGTGTGGCATCGATGTTGCCTCCGGCATCCTCCGGCTGAGGCGTCCAAGGACTTCCTTCAGCTCAGCGACGATCATCCAATAGGTCCCGTTGCTCTGAACGGACTCGGGCTCCCCTGAGCCGCCCGTGGCGCGCTGGGCATCGCCGCAAAAGAGGCCGACCGTGCCGACCGTGGCCGAAGCCGATGAACGGTGCTGGTGGATGGTCCGACCCAAGTTCGACGTGGGGGGGGCTTGAGAAAAGATCAACATCATCCTTCAACCACGTCGATCGCTGTGGCGTTTCGATGTTCGCGCAAACACTGAGAGTGCGATCGGCGGTTTTCCGAAACACCACTGTGACCTGTTTTGCCGTCGCCGGAGCACCTGAGCGTTTTCGGACCAAACCGACCCCCAATCACTGGACATGACTAAAGAACTACAGCATGCAAGAGTGTTTTCCGCCATCCTAAAATCTTTTTTTCCCCAATATAGTTGTACACGTCGTGTCATCCCGTCGTGTTCCTCCGGCTCCAGCTGCGCGCATCCGTTTCCGCGCGCCCCGTCCCTCTCCGGCGCATGCGGAGCCGCCGAAACGGCGTCGTACCGGGCGCCGTGTGCCGCGGCGTGCGGGGCGCCCAGTGTGCTGGGGGCCAGGGTCTCCCCTCCCAACCTTCCATCTCTACCAGCACCCTCCCAACCTCTGGCTTGTGGCCTGTCAAGTCGAGTGCTGGTACACCGGGTGACTGACGCCAGGCGCAGGATGGTCAATGTGCCAACCTTGAAGGAAAGAGTGGCATGGCCGACAGAACCATGATGTATGATGTAGACTCTTGATGAATAGGCTCCACCATAAGAGGTTTAATCTTTACATCAAGAGTCGACCTGAACCAGACGCTGCTCCTACCTTCGCTATGCCAGCACCGCTTCTGCCTCCGCACGTCACGCCGGGCGCGGGACACCGGGCTGGACGGGGACACCGGGAGATGCGGTGGCCCTTGGCCCGGCTTCCTTCGTTCAGATGGCACACCCTGCGACATTGGAGCAACAGCCAGACGAGCAGGCGGCGTCTACAGCAACGGTATAGAATTCCTCATCCTGTTGGATCACGGTGAAAGCTGAAAACGGGATGGAGCGCAGCTGCATGGTGACAGCTACACCTGGTTCCAAGATTGTGGCAACGGATCTGATAGGAAAAGGATGGAAAGGGTGATCAATGGCCGGGGCCTTCTATTGTTCCTTGCAAGCTGCTTGACACCCGATCATGGGAACCCTGGGAACCTGGCACCCGGTATAAGAGATGTCAACCTACCATGGAAAAGGAACCCATCTCCTCTGATAAGGAATGTCCAATCTACCATGCAATGGTGGGGGAGGCGCCATGATCCACAGCCACATCTCCGGTGGAGAAGAACCGCCCGATGGGGCCTGAGGGGGCGGCATGCAGCCGGGGCGCTCGGGAATGCGTGGACCGCGCGCGGTGTCCAGCGTGGACGGCGTTCGGGGGTGGGCAGTCCAACATCGACGGGTCAAAGGTTTTGTAACCCCAGAAAGCCCCCGACTAACAACGCTTGATCACCAAGCCAACTCGGATTTCTACTAAGTGTGGTGTTCCCAGACCCTGCCGGCCTGGCGGCCAACCCTTTTCGGTCGTCTTTGCGCGAGACTGTTTGGTTGGCCGGTCTTCCGCCGGGGCCGTCTCTTCAGCTCACGGCCAGGCCCCAAAAACCACGTGGGGTATGTGGGGTTCGATGGGGTTCGCGGTCCGGTCGTTGTGGTCCCAGTCGTTCGGTCGTCAGGTGGATCCTCCAGTCGTCTTAGGGCTCGAAGACCAGTCCAACACGAGTCCAACACGAGTGAAGGATGATGATGAAAATACCTGGAAGAGATTGGAAAGCCTCAAAACCGCGAAGATCCAGTCTCAACCGACCGCATCACCACCAAACCCGTGAAGGACCAGTCCACTTCGCTCCCTTCGTTCGACCAGACACGACTCTTTTCCGCTCGAAGCCGAGGGGCAGCGATGGGCTGGCTCAGAGGGCGTACCAGGGGCCTGATATGCCGGAGTGTTGTGCAGATAGCGGGGGTTACTTGTTCGATGATCTGGGGAAAGTCGCAAGAATTGGAAAAGACACCTTTGCTTGGAGTACTGATAGATGTTCTTTGGTGGTTACTGTACATGATCTTGCATGTTTTGCGTGTGCAACATGTGCAAGTGGCAGTGCCCACTCTATGATCTGCTTGAATGAAGTGATGTCGTGGTTGTGGCCCACTCTCGTCCCCCCCTGCCGGGAAGGGTTTATGCCCCAAGTCCTTGGATTTTTCGTGGTTGGCCATTGCAATGAGAAGCACCAAAGAACACCAAAGAACACCGGTGTGTCCAACGTTATCTTCTGGCTTCTCATGAAACTGACCACAGTGCCCAGCCGCGCGTGCGTCCACGCCACCGCTTCGGCCTTCAACGGCCTTCCGTTCGCCCTCAAACGGCCGACCCGTTCCGCGGGAGGCCGATGAATATGGCGGTGAAGATGCTTCTTTCGCCCAAGGCCCCGAGCCGCGCAGACACCAAAACGGCATGACACTCGACGTGGGGGGGCGCGAATCCGGACGGCCCATGGTGTTGGTTTTTTCTTTTTTCTTCCCAGTCTTGAAGTCGGGGGCTAACAGGCTGTTAACAGGTGTTTCCACTCTTGACTTTGGAGTTCTTGGGGGTTTTCTCCCCAAAATGGCCGAAGTCCTGGCAGTCCTGTGAGTCGTGCGGGCTGACCCGTGGTGTTTTCATGACGACTGCTGGGGATCCTGCGGGTGCGCCGACATCATCTCGCAGGGGAGATCCGAATCCTCGCTTGATGCTTTTCACGATGGGTCCATGTCAATCCCTTCAACTTGACACATTTAGTATACCGTATACTAACATATGTGCATGACCACCGCGATGCGAAAAGGATGGGAATAAGGGCGATGCTTAGTCAGGGATGTCTACAAACCAGCCTTTCCATGGTGTTTTCCTGGTGTAACTGTGTACTCTTCTTTTGGGTCCCCTTATCGGGCCTTTGGACCTGCTGAGTACGCTTCTTCCTGTCCATCCTGCCTTTCCAGGAATCCACCTGCGTCCTGGGTCCCAAAGGCGCCTGAGTTACTCAGGGCGGTGAGGGGGATGTCTGAGCTGCAACCCGCAGCATCTCTCGGAAGGTTTTGAAAAACCGCCCTTCAGAAAGCGGAAGAAGTCGATTGAAGATCGGAGATTCCCCCTGAAAGATTTTGAGGCAGACGTGACGAAGTGACTTAAACTTTGTGTTTGGATATGTTTGGAGATGTCAGCACTGTCAGCACGCATTCAGCACGCATTCAGCACGCCGTCACAGGAAAGTGCTTCGAAGCGGTCGAGAGCATTCTTTGTTTCGTCATTTGTGTTTGGGGGCCATGGATGAAGACTCTGTAATGGCTGCTTGGTAATGGCTGCTTCGGTTGGACGTTCTGCCGGTTTCCGCACCCACAACCCACCGACCAAGTGGGCGCGCAAGTGGCGCTCCGGGTGGCTGAGGGCGCCGTGCCGTGCAGGTAGCAATAGCAAGCAGATCTTCGACCAGACTGGAGTGAGGCCGGGACCCTTCTTGGCAGCATCCGGGTGTTGTGCGCTGTAGAAGCGCGCGTAGGTCGGTCCAGAGGGACGGTGTTGCGGGGCACTCTGGGTTGACCCGGAGAAGAAGTTCCAGGTTTCCCCGGTTTTTCGGGACGTCCACTTCTCAAGCATGGTGGGGCAGTGGGTGAGGTCTGGTGCCACCCCGTGGTGCCACCCGGGCTGGCTGGGGAGTCGGAGTTCTCCCCTGCCTTGCGAGGCTGCATTTGAGTTCCAAAGGAGACTTCTACCCAGGCACGTCGATGCAGGACGCTCGTGGAGTGCAGCGTGGAGTGGGTGGAGTTGGACGCTTGTTTTTGGTTCGAGATGGGAAGCACCCTGGAGGAACAAGTTGAGGAACCCGTTTCACACATATATCGTATAGACGCCTGGAAGTCTAGTACTTATAAATCTACTTTTGGCACCACCAAGGTAGAGGAAGTTCCTTGCGGATCACCTAAAGACAAGTTTCAACAGAGGCTTGGACTTCCAGGGTTTATGTCTGTCCTGGGAGTCGAGCCGAGTTTTAGGTGTTCGACAAGGAGTTTCTTGTACTTCGGTGGTGCCAGATTTCTACTTTGCAAGTCTGTATGGGCTTTGGGACTTCTGGGGTATATAGTACACATCTACTTTTGGAATTAGCGAGCGACTGGTGGTGATCCAACCAAGAAAAAAAGGTCGGACAAATCCTGTAGGTTTGATCCGTCCCTCGGTTTCCCGATGGGATCAACTGAAGCCGTGTTGTTTGTTTTTGTTCCAACCAGATCCATGGAAAAAAAAAGGGCCCTCTCTGGTGGTGCATCCTGCTAGCGCTACGACTGCTTGGCGGAGCTCATGAGTGCAATTGTATGATGCCGTACGTACGGCCTGGAAGATTAACATGGAACCTGAAAACTGGTTTGTGGAGGAAGCTAGCCTTTCAATTAATTCTTTAGGTTGAGTGCAACTGTATGAAATTGTGTGTTCTTTTGGGGCCATCTAGCCTGAAGTCATCGCCCAGGTTCCCAAGTAAATCGTTTTGAAGATCGGAACTTGTGTATATGTGTGTGCGAGCGTGTCACAAATGCACATCGCCTTAAAAAAGACAATCACAAAAAACACACGGGGGATTGAAGTGAAAAACCCTTGGTACAACAATGGTTGTTCGGGATTCAGGCTATTAGATTAATGGTGGGCCATGAATCCTAGGGAAATGAAGCTTCATGGCTCGGGAACTGTCGGCGCCGTTGGTGTTTGGCGCATTGGGCAGCGCCACGCCACGGAGGAGCTCTTGTTGAGGGGCTCTGGGGCAGATGTGGTGCAGATGGCGCTGCTGCAGGCCATACTGTAGTTCTCATGGTTTTGAGGGGTGCTCAGTGGTTTTGGAAGGTTGTTGGAATTCTTCGGTGTACATCTTGCACGTGAGATTCACCTGCGGTGACTTCGCGGTGTGGGGTGTATCGGTGTGCGGTCTGGTCCAATCGAACGAATGGGATACCCCTATGATACCACACAGCCCGCGCAAGCTTGTTCAAGCGAAGAAGGGTGGATTTTCCTCAGCGAAGGTCTCACTGCAGGGAACGTTGACGCTGGGGTAGTTGGTGGGTAGGATGTCAAAAGTGTCAGTCTGAATCCTTTTTCATTCATGGAAAGCTCCAGTAAAGGTGGCACCCTTTCTGGATCAGACGTGGTGTACAACTCTGTATGACATTCTCCAATGCTTCAAGGGTTGTAGTGCTTTTCCTGAGTTTTACTGAAACGAATTCCTGAGGTCTACAGGGGTACTATCTTCCCTCTCATGCTTTTAGAGCAGCACCAGATGGTAGATGTTCAGAATGGGACATGCGGGTCGCTTCAGCATGCTCAACGACGTAGCCAGGCAGGTTCCAGGCAGGCTCTGGTGGCTCTAGAAAGGAGACGGGTCAGAGGGTTCATGCAGACGCAAGAACCCCAGGCGAATCAAAGAGTGGCTGACCCGGTGTTGTAGCCTAAAACCCTCACTGTATAGTACAACAATGGTCTTTTTGGCAAAGACCGTATGGGGCAATGGTTGTTGGAATCCCAAGGTTCAAAATCACACTGCCACACACACACACACACACCGAGCGAAAAAGTGCGAAGCATCGGTGAGGCGTGGGGGACAACGATCAGGTCAGACCAAAGGGATTGGCAAAAACACGACAGCCACGATGATTGGATCAAGCCTCTTGGTCTCCTGGCCATCTCTGTCATGCCACAGCCCACTTACCTGCGGGCGCAGAGTTTGTGACTGTTTGTTCTTTCATGTTCGTTGCGGCATGTTGCGACGAACGTTGCCACATAGATCTGACTTCCACCGGTTGTCTTTTCTGCCTGTTGCCGGTTGCCTTTTCTGCCTGTTGCGGGTTGATATTTGCAATTGTCCGTTTCTCTTTCCTTTTCCTTTTCATTCCCTTCCTTGTCCTTTTCCATTTCTGTTCCTTTCTTGTCCTTTTCTCGTTTCTTATCTTTCATTTTCGTGTCCTTTCCTTTCCTTTTCTTCTGCCTGCCCTTCTTTTGGCTTGCTTCTTAATGCCGCTGCTGCCTGAGGTGTGAATCTGTTCCTTCATGCTTGCGGTCATTGCGATGCTGAGGCCGCCTCGGACGCAAGATGCAACAACTGTTCCTTGTCCTGTCCTTTATCCATCGTGCATGTTCTTTTCCTTTTCCATGTCTTTTTCTTTCTCTTTTCTGCTCTTCTATTTTCATCTCCTTTCCTTTTTTGTTTCCTGCGCTTCTTTTGCTTTTCTTCTTTCCGCCACTGCCGCCTGAGGTATGAAACTGTTCCTTCATGCTTGCGGTCCTTGCGATGCTGAGGCCGCTTCGGGCGCAAGATGCAGCAATAGAATGACTTAAGGATGGAAGCAGGAAGAAAGACATAATAACAGCGTCTGTGGCCTGTGGTGGTCGCCGTGGACATCTAGCCTTGAAGGCTATAGTTAGCGATCGGCCTGTCTCACCCGTTGCCCCACCAAGGGCTCACGCCATGGCAGGCGACGTTGGAGCTATAAGACCGCGACTGATGACACGGAGACCGGCAAGCTCTTCTGAGTGAAGGCGTGTTCGTAGAGAGGCCCCCAGAAGATGGTCAGGGCCCAGGGCACAAAAGGAAAGAGGTTCGTTGGATCCAGCTAAGTCGGAAAATTGAGAAGGGGCCGACAAGTATAGAACACCAGTCTACTTGTAAGCGACGGTGCGTGCGTGGCCCGCCGAAACAAGAAAGTACATGAGCAAAGCGCTCACTCTTCTAGCCTTAAAGGCTATAGTTACTATAGTTAGCGATTGGCCTGTTTCACCCGCTGGGGGGATTTATGCCATGGCAGGCGGCATTGGAACTTTAAGTCTGTGACTGATGGCACGGAGTTCGACAAGCACTTCTGCGTGGGCACGTGGTCGTAGAAAGGCTCACGAAAAAATAGCGTTTCAAAAAAAAGAGGGTGGGGATTCATCCGAATGGGTAACCGGCATGCAGGCTGGGGTTGAGAGGAGGGCATTCAAAAACAGAGGGTAATGTCGTCTTTTGCAAGCCCGGGCTAAGAGACAATGTTGGCTTGCAGCCTTTCCCAGCTTTCAAGCACTATTTTTTTGAGTTGCTTTCTCGACCGTGGCGATGGGGAACACAAGCTCACGATACGTCGAGGCAAGGTGCAAAGTGGGATGAGAACAAGTTTCGCTGGAGTTTCCAGGTCTATGTGAAAATACATGGAATCAATTCTGGGTGCGAGGTGGATAAGTATGAGCGCGACGGCCAGCAGTGGCTGTGGTGGTATGGCGGCGAACGGTGGATTCACACTGAGGCGCTGCGCGCTCTTTGTCGTGTCAGCAGCCAAAACATTGAGTGACAAGATTGCTGAGGGTTGGGTCTGTCTTGCACTTTGAGTTTGGCAGGCCGTCGATGAATGTGGCTGGGAGCAGGGTACTGGTGGTACACGTTCGATGAGTTTGGCCGCTGCTACGACATTGGCCGTGCTTGGGCGGCCTCCACCCCACCAACCCTCGAGGAGTGGCAGGAGGAAGGCACGGCCGAGCGCGTTTACGCAAACTGCACGTGCAAAGTAATGACTGAGTAGGAGCGGTGCTGATGCAGAAGCAAGTCAGTCGCGTTCTTCAAGTTACGCGTGGGGGGGCCGCCTGAACCACTGCGGGTTCCTGACATGGGCGCTCCCGAGAAGGCGCGTTGAGATTCCAACAAATTGCCCCCCTTGACTTGCTTTGACGATATTGTCGCAAAACGAAATCTCCTACGCAAATTTTGTCATAGGTCCCCATGATAGCGGTCGCGCTGACCCTGCAACTCTTTGAGGATAACTTGCTATATGTCAGGGCGCATGTGCTACAGTTGAGCCGGATCCCCATCAAGTGCCCCTATGAAAGCACATTGGCTAGCGGCCAGTGAAGCGCTGCAGACAGTATACATATATAGGACGGAAGTTCGAGGATTCTTCAACGCAAGCACTCAATATCACACTGTCAGTGTGCTGGGATCAAGCACTCATCACTCGGCGTGGAGACAGCGCGTGGGTAACCCCAAGGGTAGCCATGCCGAAGTGCGCCACCGACCGCCAAGCAGCAGAGCGAGCGGGCGGCCAAGAAGCTCAACCACGGCCAGTGCGGCGCGGATGGCATGGAGTGTGTCTACCGCTGGCTCCGGTTCCACACGAAGATCAAAACGAACGATGCCGTGGCCGAGGCAGGCGGGCGCACGAGCCCCATGTAGTGAAAATAAGTTAAATGGACAGGCAAACTCACTACCAAACGCTGTAGCCAGTTAGGTGCCGATGGACGGCCGGATGAACATGCCATTCTGTACCGCAAACTTGCGCTTCCACTTGGCAGGCTTACGCCCATGGGTGACCATTGGTGGCCATGGCTGCGCTCGACGTGGATGAAGTATGCCGCGCCCTCCACTCCCGAGCACTGAGTTTAGACGGCGAATTGCCCGAGTATTGCGACTTCGCTTGAACAAACATGCAATTAACACATGCGCCACGTGAACGGCACGTACTACAAGCTTGACAAGCTGGTTCTTCCAGGCCAGGAACCTTCATAGTCACCAGCTCATATAAACAGGCAAAAGAATAGGCATCGTGGCCAAACCACTGATTCAACCAGGACAGCTTTGACAAGGTATTTGAACGGTTGATTTCCAAACAGAGGCCGCTGCATTTGAGAAAGGGCAGCCTTCCATCACATATTCCCTCGAGCTTGTCATTGAAGAATGCGCTTTGTAAAGCACAAAGCTGTCTTTAAAGCAATGCCAAGAAGTAGCAGGTGAAGAAAGTACAGTAGGCACACACGCACGCAGATAATATACAATGTATATATATATATATAATACAATATCATATGGATGATATGATTTGATATAATATATTGCGATATAGTATAATTAATACAATACTATAATATAGTATAGCAATAAAAAAAATAAATAGTATATATATATATATGATACACACACACACACATATATATATATATATCATGTGCGTCTGGTCTATCAACATCCCGCACTATTGGCAAAAAGGGTCGGTCGTTTTCGGTCATCTAGACGACTCACACGAACGAGCCCGCCGGGGTCGCACTTCCGACCGGTGACTCCGAGTTCCGTCGTGACTCCGAACGGACCGGTGTCCTGCCGCTCAATCCGACGAACTCGTCAGGTCATCGCCACGTTGAGCGCAGAGACCGGCAAGACCGGGGGCGACGACCCGGGACGACCCGGTTCCCGAAAAGCTCGGAGGTTGAATCGGGCCCCGGACACTCAGAGTCGGAGATGAAGCGTTTGTGATGTGGAGAAAGGTACATAGGGAGACCGAGCCCCTGGCATCAACCCCCTGGAAGAAGGAAAGTACACCAGTCTACCCGGCCAGGGCCAGGGCAACCCATTGGGGCGATCGGCGATGGGGGTTCTCCCTATTCAAATATATGTGACAGAAAAATCCGATGGTCCACGATTTTCCCAACAAAATCCACCAACGGACGATCCACTTCATCTGACTTATATAATATACGTGATTTCTATGGGCACCTGGAAGCTACCTTAGGTTTGCGCAAGCAGGGGCCTTGGGGCCTGGGGGGCTTTGTGTTGGGTCAATGGCAACAATGGAGACGAAACCATATATTTTCGACGAGGGGATGTGTGCCCCATATGTAGAGGCTTTACAATCCTACAACTGTATGCGCCCTTTGCCTTCAAAGACCATTATACAAAAGGTTGACGTGGTGTTGTAGTCTAAAATCCTTTCAGTAAACAATTGTTGTTCAGGATTCAGCCTAAGCCTATTAAATCAATGGTATCAATGGCGGGCCACGACTCCTAGGATACACACTCATCTTACCCCACCGGAGAGCCAAACATCCACCAGGCCGGGGTAGTTCAGGAGTCATGATTGGACGTTCAAAAATCGATCCCTTCGAGGATGTAGACTCGTGATTTTATAGCCAAACCACCCTTCTTTGAGGCCACTGAATCCCCCAAAGTGCGGGGTTTTATTCTTCCAGAGTCGGTGCATGACTGTCAGAACCGGAGCGCTGATCGCTTGTCGGCGTTGGTCGCGGTGAGGATCCTCGGCCAAGAAGTGGACGTGGAGGAGGGTGGTGCACGAGTGCCGGGCCGAGGGGTAGCGAGGCTTCCAGTCCGTTAGGGTGAAGTTGGAGGCTTCACAGTTAAAGTTTCCCAATGAAGACAGCAAACTTGCATGCCGGTGGCAACTCTTATCGAATCTTCTACCAGCCTTTCCCCCAGAGCTCTGCCCGAGTCTTGTCACATCAACCCTGGCTGTAGACGGCAGATCGACCTGATCTCCCATCCAAAGCCACAGAAGTCCAAGCCGATGTTGAGAATGGTCTGACTGATCCACTGGGAGTTTCCTTCAGTGCAAACATCGTCCAGAGAGACGGAAGAGAGGGGTCTCCACCATCTGAGTGGGGCCTGCGTTCTTCGCCCACGCCCACGCCCACGCCCACGCAAGCTGCGCCACTCCAACCAGGTCAACCTGGTGGTGCCGGTGCTGTCGGGACACCCGGCGCTCACGACCGACCGCCATCCGATGCCCCCGAGCTCGATGCGACGAGCCTGGACTTCCAGAAGTTCAAGACATTCCAAGACTAGGTGACCCGAAAAGGGGTGTGGTGTCCTGGAGGTGGTGCCGGTGCGCCCGGGGACTGGAACTACAACTGGGAACCCCAGGTGTCGTCAGGCGACCGGGACCTGGAGGCATGGAGGTTTTGTAGGCTGGCAACGAGTGGTGAGTGGGCTGGCATTTGGGGTGGGATCGAATCTAAGTCGAGTCACAGGAACTAAGTCACAGTCACAGTTATAGATCCAATATGATCGGATCATATAATAAGTCATAATAAGTCAAGCCATCAAGTCATCGTTTCCTGTGTGGATGATGTGGATCGCTGGATTGGGATCCGTGTCCGCGAGGCTACTCCGTACTGTCTGTACCTTTGCAGCTAAACATTGCGAAGCACATCATAATACGTCCTCACATAGGTACGGCCACAAGACCAAAGCCTGATAGCAGCTGCAGCGTTCACCCCCTTCCCTGGTTTGTGCACGCAGCCCATGTGGGGTGAGTAATTTAATGGTATGGACACTTGAAATCATTTGAAGCATACAGCATATTCATTAACCTTTTCAGTGCCAAGCCACTCGAAGACGGCATTGAAGTTTTCATCTCAACTGCGAGAGCCATATCTCGAGATGCCGCTGAAAGAAGTGTGAAGGGGGCGTCTTGGAATTTGGAAGCCGTCCAAGAATAAGTAATCCACTCGCAGCCCTTTGGCTCGTTCCGCGTGGCGGCGTTCCGCGGAGCTCGGCTCGTTCCGCGTGACCCGCCACGCGTGACCCGCGAGCTCGTTTCGCAATGAAGTGCCGGGAGCCCAGCCAACCGGGCGACACCGGGCATCATACACTTGGACTTTTTATCACGGGCAGCTTGGCACTTGCAGCAAGTGAACTGATTGGACATAGACGCTTGTGATAGCTGGCTTCGGGTACTCGTGCGTGGCTTCTACTTAAGTTACTTATTCTACTTACCACTTCCCGTACTGGTCTGGCAGTTTTGGGATCATTCTTCGCCTCGCGAGCTCCTCCAACAAAGAAGGATGCCTATAGTTTTTCCGGGACCTCTTTAAACATGGAAAGACATGTTTTTGTCGTGTAAAACTGCACAGCCCTTTCTAGAAGAATGGGAACCATTGGTCAAGACGACACACCGAACACTCTCGGAACTCGAAGGCAGGACGACCTCAGCACTGCTCGGTGCTGAGATCGAACTCGGAATCGCCCAGGCGGCCTGATCCTTCTGCCAGCGGGGCTCCCGGGGGAGCTGTCTTCGCGCCACACCAAGTTTTTGGGATGGGTAGGCGTGGAGAGGTGACAGCTTTTGCTGCTTGGTCACTCAAAAGATCCAGGTCTGAAACAACATGGGTTAAACGGTTAAACATGCTTAAATAGCCTTTTTCGTTTTTATACTGTAGATAGTTGGTATGAACTGGCCATCTGTTGAGCCGAGCCTCTCTTCCAGAGGTTTGGGTGAGGGTCCCAACACCTGGAAAGATCATGAAGATCCTCCAGACCCCGAATAACATCGTGAGCAAGTCTGTGGGTCGAGCCGTCTCTCCCCCCGTCCGCACCGAGCAGCCCTTAGGGCCGTCTGAACGGCCGGCGCACAGCTCGGAACATGGTCCGACCATGTACCGTGTTGAGGGTGTTTCCTTTTGAAAGGGGGGTTGGTTGAAGGGGGTCACGACGGGTCCGATTCCAAGTTCCAAAAAACACATGCCAGGAGTCACATGTATAGTTGGGTGGTGTGGCTCGTCCAGTGATGTGACTGGGCAAGGGGCACCCCGCCTCATTCTAGCCCAGAGGCTCCGTTCAGCTCGACCAGTCTGAGTCCCTCAAAACCATAAGGATTGGTTCGGGTCCGAACCCCTCCGTTTCGGGTCCGCACCGAGTGTCTGGCTGGGTCGTTGCGGCCTCTCCCGTCGTAGACCTGCCGCGAGGTCTTGGCGTTGGGCGCCGATGTCGTGGAGTCCCCGGTGCAGAAGGTGGGTGGAGTCGGGACTGTGGGACCACAGCCGGTTAAGGCGGTGGGAGTTGGCGGTATAGGACGCTCCTTTGGCATGGATTTGGGGGGGGGGGGGTTTCTGGGCTACAGGAATCCAGAGTTCTCGCGCGTCCTGGGCGCCGCCCCCAGACTGAGACTTTCTACCTAGCCGCTTTGGCCAGGTGGTGACCATGCTGAAGGCCATGTCAGAGAAAGGGAAGGCGGAGCTTCAAGAAGAGAAGGTCCAATATGCCAGGCGTGAAGGGATCGGGGTGGAGAGGGGGGTTGCGTGAAGGGCTGCGTGGTGTCCTAAAGAGCCTTGCGGCTGTTGTTCTTGCATGAGGGCCCTTGCATATAGGTCTAGTCGTTGGAACAGTCGTGGAGGAATTTGCCAAAGAAAGTTTGGATCTCCTTTGAAACGACTGGGATTTTCACTGGTGAATCTGGTCTGCAAAGACTCTTCAACCAGCGCTGAGCTGGACGGAAGCCGTCAGCTCCTCCATCCCATCCCAACCCGGTGCCCTTGAAAAATGGGGCCGCCCATTTTTCGCGCCAGTGAGTGGAGTGATTCTTGCAGGTATGCTCAGTGGTGCAGCAGCACCCAGGCGGAGAAGTCCAGCGCCATCGAGGACGCCGCCGGGAAGCTGGAGGCGCGAGGACCACCCGCTCGGTGGCCGAGAGGAGGAAGACGGAGGACATGGGCAGTTCTCCATCGTCTGCCGTGAGAAACCGCGAGGAGTTGAGAAACACGGCAGGTGCCTCCGTAGATTTGTCCGGCCGAGAGTGTGTAGGTGCATAGAAAAAAGGAAGTTGGTCGAACAGAGCACCATCCTGTTCCTGCTGAAAGATGTTTGCCTTGTTCCACAGATTTGTCTCCAAAAGAGGAGGACTAGGCGAATGCGGCTAACATTTGTTGCACAACGGAAGATGGCTGAAGATCCAATGGTTGGCACTGTTCATTTGGGCAAACACAGGGCCAACGCGGAGTGCCCTCTCGAACCACTGCGTATCCTACCGACCACGCACCGACAGGTGCTCAGCGCCGACATGGCCAAAGCGACCACTGAAGCCGAGGTCTTGTCCAAGGCCAGGCCTCAACAGGGCCAGGCAGCATGGTTGCACGAAAGGTCCCAGGGATTCCAACATGTCCTGACCCTGTTAGGAGGATAAGAGTTTTCCAAATCTTTCGAAAGGAGACCAGTTGGAGGGTGCCGGTTTGTCGGGTGCCCAGGGCACACCCTTTCTGGTGAATCTCAAGGACCCCCGTTGTGGGGGCAAGTTTTCGTTCGCCCGTTCAGGAGATCGAGGAGCACAATTCTCAGATCGTGAGGATTGGCGAAGAGCAAGAGAAGGCCAAAGAGGCGGAAGAGCCGTCGGCCTCCCAAGCCTCGCCCTCTCCCGACCTCAACGAAACCGCTTGTCTTGCCACGGTGGGTTGGGTTGAGGCTTGTCGTCAACCCGAAGCGTTTTGGAGTGTTTGATCGGTGAAGGGCAGAGATGCCGCCGTGAGTCCAACCCTAAAGGTCATGAGTCATTTTACCCCATTGGAAGTGACCAGGGCAATTGACCAGGGTGTCGCTGCTTGAGCTCGGGTGCACCTGAGCGAAAAGTGGTGGTAGCGGGGAAAGACCCGGAAGCTTTGGAACAGAGCCTGTTGCAATGGAGTTTCAACTGCCATTGAGTGGGGCCCAGTCATGAAATTATCGTTTCAGTTTCAATCGGATCACCTACATCATTCGACAGAAGAAACATCCTTGAAGAGCATGACTAGCTGATTCCCCATTAAACCGGGAGCCGGGAGCTGTAGAGAGTTCCCTCAACCCTTGCTAGAATGTGGTACCTCCGTTTGTTGTCCATGTTGTTTTGGACCTTTGGTGGATGGTCGATGGTCACTGGTCACCCCACCCACGTCTACAGCGACAGGCCATGCGCGACGAAAAGCGTGGACCGGCCGGGCACGCATTGGTGTTTTTCGCCAGGTCCGTGCAAAGGAGGCAGAGGACTACACAAAGGAGCTCAAGGCCAGTATGTGATGGTGGACTAAATGACGATGGCGGAAGAAAAACGATCACCCACGATCTAACTATGCCCGTGATGTATTGCCCCAAATAGGTTCCATCGCTCAATCTCAACCAGGATTCATCGCTCAATGTGTCCTTGCAGGACTACACCGAGGCCGTTGATGCGATCAGCCGTGCGCTGGACACCATGGAAACACAGGCGGGGAACGCCGTCGTGGTCCGAGGTGGGAGTGCAACACCAGACACCCCGAATCACAGCTTTTTGGGGATATACATAGACACCCCGACAGGAGGGTCGTGGTATATCTCCCTGAGAGTCCAAGCATGACTCATTTTACCCCTGTGCTGTGGTATCACTTCCAGGTGGGGTGAAAACGAGTCAGTTCGGAAGTTCTGGGTAAAAGAAAGCAGATGACCGAGATGACGCTTGAGAGCCTTACTTCTTCCCAGCCAACCCGGCGCCAACCTGCGACCAAGCCTGGAAGACCTTCGTTCCTGCCCGGTCCCCGGGCTCAGGCTCTCCTCCAGTTGGGCTCCGGGCGTGCTGCACAGGTCGGTGCGCTTTGCTTTGTTTCTGGTCGATGGTTGAACATGGAATGACTTGGTTCCAAATTGTCCTGCACTTTTTTTTTTGCTCTTACCTCACCATCATTCTACAATGGGTTCCCAAATAATGGTAGAAATGCCTTCCACTAGTTTCTACCAGTAATTAGTGCATTTGCCTAGAACCCGTTTGACCTGCCTTTTTGATATGAAAAGACCATGTTGGGGCTCCACAACAGGGGTCAATCAGGTTCTAGGATGTTCTAGACTGACGGACCCTGGCCAGGGCCTGTCACCAACGACCAAAGCATCAGACAGGGAACATGGAGAGAGCTGGTCACTCCCTGAAATCATCACGAAAATGAAAAAACACATGGACAACTATTTGTTTG